TCATTTACCCAGTCAAATTCCCTAACCCTGATCTTAATTTTACAGTCCTGGTAAATCCCCAGCACATTTTTTATTTTCAGATGCAATTTGATATTATGATATGAACCAAATTTTTTTCTAAACACTGACACACATTACTAGGCTGTTGTCCAACCTTTCAATTATTCATCGACTTTCCAATTAAAATCTTCAATAAAATGAAACCGATTTCCACAAATTTGGAATGTGTGGTACTTGGAATTATTACCATATACAGCGCACCTCATTATCTTTGTGATATTTCTTTCAGTTGCCAGATACGACATGATTGATGTGAAGAAGGCAGTAGAGAAAGACAACTGGAATATCCTGAGATGAACAATTACACCCACTAGTATCCATAGACTAAATTTTAACTGAAAATTTACATCCTGTCTCTCCTTAAATAAAAATTCCGTAATACTTATTTGTTTTGTGTAAAAATAAATGAAAAATTATTTAACTTTTAAAAATGAACAGAGGTTATAGTTTAGACTTGAACTAAAAGTTTTGAGTTTAGATTGTCTCCGAACTCCCATTATAATGACTTTTACAAGAGCTCAGACTGCTTCAGTTAAAGTGGACATTTTATTACAAAAATATATCCAGCAAAATAATTAGAACATGATGTGAGAAAGCTCAAAAAGTAGAACAAACAACACCATTTGTTCTAGTGTGTTCTAAATATTTCCCTACAGTATAGCCTACACAGTCCCACCCGTTCATCCCCATATGTCTTAAAATCATAAAATATTTTATTTAATCGGAATAATACTTTTATTACAACGGATTCAATTTATAAATATTTATGAAAACGTATTTATTTATACAAATATAAAAACAAATATATTAGCTGGACACTATTTTACTTATCAGTATTATGTATATCTAATTATTGCAAAAAATTCTATAGGATAAATAATTGCTCTTTTCTGGATCTTCTAATTTTGTAATAATGTTTGTATAGAATAATTGAATATGTCATTTCGCTTTAATTTTATATTTTGATAAATTTTTAACATACATCCTGACGCTCTCAGAAACAGCCAGACACGTTAGTCTTTCAAAACAGAATTGAAAACACATCTATTTCGCATACACCTGCTGGGGTGACGTTGTCTACCATCTTTTGCAGCTGGCTATTCATACAATAATCTCCTAGATGTAAATTAGCCTGTGTTGTTTATATTTGCAAGGGATGAAAGACTTAGAATGGGTAAACTCGTATATAGTTTTTGTAATGTTACGTTTTGCATTTCAATGTGGTATAATATTAATAATATAGATTTGTTCATTTCTCTTTTAAGATGGTTGACTTTGTACCGCGCTTCGAGCCTTTTGGGAAGAAGCGTGATTTTCAAATAAACTTTATTATTATTATTATTATTATAGTGTGGATTCTAAACAGTCTTAATGAATAGCTCAATCTACTGATGTAATGCAAACGAATACAGCGATCAGATGAAATCACTTGACTTTTGAATCTGTGGGACTAATTTATGCATTTTTGCTTTTGCTCTGAGTTTTTTATATTTTTTTTATTTTAAATAATGCTATTGGAAAGTTCCAAATCAAATGAGCTATTGCATGACTATTCTTGTCCAGCTTTATGAGATACTAGCCAATGTGCCCAGCGTTTCTCGGGTTTTCATTCAGAAAAAAACAAAAAAAACTCACAAAACGTTACCATCGGGTATGTTGATTTAGGACTTGCTGTCAAAAACACTTCACTAAAGTCAATATCAACATTTAAAAAATGTTTTCCCATCTCAGGGGGTCACCAAACTACGGCTCGCGACGGTTGAATGAATTGTAAATTTTGGCGTCTTGGAAGAACTGATCTCAATCTAAAACATGAAATATTTTATACCACGTCCCTCTTTCTTTTTCCCAGCCTTTCCAAACAGGTTTTCTGTTTCTTGATCTTTTGCAAAATGTACAAAAACAAACTCCGCTGATTTTTCAAATTTTTGTTTGGGTTCATTATGGTCTACAAGCAATCTTTCAGATTCTCGTGTCTATGATGTTAGGCCAGCACTGATACATTGCCAGGTGACTTCTAAACCGATTGTTTATGACTTTCCCGATTTAGCAATGAAGAATACAATTTTATACCAAATGGTGCACGCAATTCACGGGTGTTTTGGTTGGAACCTTTTGGAAACAACAACAACAGCAACAACACCCACGCTCTTTTGACACGCTTCGTCTCTTTTGTAAAATCCATTCAATACCGGTACTATTAAGTGTTGTCAGCTCGTAGCACATAGGTAAGGAAAATGTTTTGGCGACCATCTTCGCTGTATGGAATTCACATCAGGGTTTTCTCCCTCTGTTGCGTGTAAACAAAACATGAGATCTGCCTTCCACACTTGATTGACCCCAGAAATCAAATCAGTATTTATTAAAATTAAAAAAAAAAACGTTAAAAAAAATTAATTAATCTAAACAAATTTCCTAATTTACCTGCCCCCCACCCCTCCCTTTGAAGTCCCAGCGTCCCGTCCCCCGCTGGAGGTGCCAGAGCGCACCCCTAAATCTCACGGGTCTTCGTCGGCCCTTGGGCTATCCCACCACCCCTCGGGAGGCGGTACCACATACTATGACCGCCACTGGTTTAGAGCGTCACAAACTTCAGCTCTGTCCGCAACCTGCTCTTGTGGCAACCTGTTCTACTGGCACTCAGTTTTGGTGGCATACTGCTCGTTTATTTAACCTAGGTATATGTTATGAAGGCCGATTCGATCAAATTTGCAGAGATTCATTTGGTGTCACCAGAGTTGCCAATCGTCCGTTATTTTACAGACAGTCCTTAAAACTTTGACCAAAAATGACTTGTCTGTAAAAGTTTGACATAAAATGACTTGTCTGTAAAACTTTGACCAAAAATAACTTGTCCTTCAAACTTTGACCTAAAATGACTTGTCTGTATATGTCCATGAGAACTTTTGGATGTCCTTGTTAAAGGGAGAAATTTTACACACACATACAAGAAGCTTAGAATGAACTTACAACATAATCTATATATATATAATTCGCCAACAAGGGTCAAACAAGACGGGTCAAACACCAAGCAGGCTATTTATAGATACGCCAGAGCGTGGTTCAATAATGAGTTCAATGGCGCGCAAAATATAATTCCAGATTACTACGCTAAATGATATATCTATTTTTATTGCGTTTGGTGCATAATATTTTCTTTTCGGAAATGAAATCGTCTCAATTTAAGTATTGTGTAAAAAATATTCGGTTTAAAGGTGGTTGGGACATGAGAATATTAATATAGTTCATGGCCGTGAAATAAAAAGTGCGCAGTGACGTATCATGGGGGAAGGGGTGTAGCAAATATTGGGATTCTTAAATGTGTGTTACTTGAGTTCATATTTTGTCAAGTAACTTTTCTAGATTGGGAAGTTCACGCATTGCTGTCGCCAATGTTTGGCAGCCTATATCTAGTACGATATAAAAAGGGAAATAAACTATGGACTGAAATTGTAGTGTGTAACAAAGTTTACCTTTGAGACCGCGCTATGCTCATTAAATTAAATGCACCCATCTAATCGGTGTCGTCCTACTGACTACTACATGCCAATGGGGGCTAAACCCAAGCTTGAGACTTTCCCTTCCCCTTCCCCTCACAAATTAATATATAATGTTGGTAATCAAACTTAATCAAAGAACCCACAGGACGGTAAACCCTAACGCACAGGCACACTCGATGCACGCCCCTGAACTATGTCTTTTATAAAATCAAATCTTCCATACTGGTAAGAAAGGCCTACAATAATCTAACGCTTCAAATGGACTCATGTAATAAGGTCAACGGACATAGAGACGTGGGGGCAAAAATACGTATTTAACATGTTTTGTGTTTGACATGCCCCCGGAGGTCCTGAAAATTTGATCTCAGGTGTGCCTTTAAAAGCGCACCGAAAAACAATGGAATTAATACGCATTTGAAAGCGCACCGTTGTGAATTAAAAAAAAAATGCGTTCACCAAATATCAGTACATCTATAACGTGCCAGATTTTTATGGAGCGGCATTGTCAAGCCATTTCAAATATATTATTATAGCGTCATCTATGCAGTTTACTATTTTTAATTATATAGCTTTTGGGATATAGTGATTTTGAGTAAACTTTCCACGAACGAAGTATAAGTCAGGAGGTACGACCGTGTCAAAGTTGGTTGTGATCCATTGTCTGGTTTTCTTGTTTTAAGGCAACTGATTGAAATACATATAGGTACATAGGTACATACAAACTTTATAATGTATGCACTAAATAGTTTGTTATGCTATGGTGGAAATTTATTTATAAACTTGGTTCAGTGCATGGCCATTCACAGATAACAGATGCTGCCATGGATTTTAGATGGACTCTGTTCATCCCGAGGAGCATAAAATATACTCCTTCAATTGAAGGGATAGCTTTAGTGCAGCCATTTATCCAAGCCACTAGTCATATGTGCTAGAGGTAACTTTCTATCTCACTCACGGTGCAACTACCTGCACTCCATAGCTGGAAGGTGAGTAGATTAAGGACCAAAATAAATCTGCTCAAATCTAATAAAATGTGAACACATATAGTGCTTGAAATGTATGGTAGAGGGAACATCCAGGAATCTAATGGAATGCTTGAAAGAGTCAGAGATGACCAGTATGGGTATGCTTTCCTTACATGCTACTTTGTTGCCTAAGGGTAACTGTATACTAATCAGTATTGAAGGAGCTGCAAATGGGCAATACTTTGGGAGTGGGGGAGGGTTAGGTGTTGCTAAGGCATGTGCCTCAAGTTTTCCTTATCACATGTACTTCACACTTAGCCAGAAAAACACAATTTAAACAATAAAACAAATACATTTTCATTGACAAAAACAGTAAGGCTTGTATTTACCTGCCATGTAATTAATAAGTGTAACTTTAAAAAAAAAAAATCGATCATAAAAAATAAACATCTGAGCTCAATATGATATTTCAATATCATTCATTCACTTTAATAACAGGCTGTTTTTTCACATGCTCTATAGAAAAATGTAAAGCTCTTTTCTTCATTTCAGCAGCCAGCGTGCTATTTTGCTCTGTGCCATGACCGTGCTGATACATCAGACTGAGATTGCTGCAGCATCCGACATGTTCTAGATTGCAACCTTTCTGGTTAAATTGAAAAGCCTTTGCAAGGTCCTTTTCCACAAACTTCCCAGAGAGATACAATGCTCCAGTGTAAAAACAACCTTCCGCACATTTTAATTCACAGGCTCTTGACAGGAGGGGGAGAGCTTTCAAAACTTTTGTTTCATCTTCCCCTGTTTGCATATGGATCTGCGCAGCGTTGAAGCATCCGTTCCCAAACCCTAAGACACAACTCTTCTCATAATACTGCAAGGCAGCTTTCAAATCAGGTGTCTGACTCTGAGTTCCTGCAAAAATCAATTGAGCGGAAATGCGTGAGATCTTACTCAAAATGATGAGGAAAAAAATAAGTGCATTATTTGAAAAAATAAACAAAAGTGTACACCTTCCCCTATATAAAATTAAAATGTATAATTGAAGCGCCAAAGCAACATTACATTGCCTTAGTTTGAAGACATCTATTTTCTGGCCCAACTCTTCATTAGGAATCCACTTTTCCCTGCTACCGTGTTGGTAAAATGAAAATGATTTATGTTGTTGTCTGCAAGCAAGCTTTTTTTTTTTTCATACCCTGCTTTAGGCCCACTGAATTTACTTCTCTAAAAATGATCTATTTACCGAATCTTGAAAAAAATTATAATCATGAACCACTTAAAATATAGTATAAAATTAATAAGGGAGTCACTTTAAATATTTGGTTGCTATTTATCAACAAATGTAAGCGATGCAAGTTTTTTCTCTGCTTGATTTTGATTGAATGAGTTATATTAGAGGTCATCCATATATTACAAACACAAGTAAAATATGAGATCCTCCCTTCCCCTTGATGCATCTATCCCTTTTTTGGGCACCCCCCTTATGTTTACAGGCAATGAGCTCTGACCCTCCCCTAACCAAAAAAAATTCATAAATCATTACAACGTGAAATACAATAAAATGTAATCAGTCAACATATTCCAATGTTTCCTAACTTGTGGTTTACCCTCCACAAGGAGGTAATTGGTATATTATAAATTATAGAGTATTGAGGACATATAATATTCATTGGGACAGTGGTGTAAGAAAAAGGAGGCGGAGGAGCAGTCTGCACTGGGCTGCACTTAGTTGGAGGGGCATCACTTATTTGGAGGGGCATCACTTATTTGGAGGGGCATCACTTATTTGGAGGGGCAGAATTTTCTGCTAACCGCTGAGTTTTTAGTGACTGTGAACGGATAAAATATTTGCCAAAACTCTGGGATAAAAAAAAATGTATTTGTTCAATCATTGGGTCTGACCTGAAAGGTCATCGTAGTGGACACTGCTGGCACACTCAGATTCACTGTCAGACGAATGCGGGGAATGGTTCCCAACGGGCTTCCTGGCAGATGGAGGGCTGGTTAAGTTATACTTGGGTTTACTCCTAGACTGCTTTTTCAGCCCTGCCTTTCTTGCCGTCTTCAAGAGAGTTCTTTTGGCAAATNGGGGGGGGGGGGCATTAAAACCTTTTAGGTGATCAGATGGAGCGAGGCGTAAAAATAAAAGCTTGGGAAGCACTACCCATCAGTGTGTTAAAATTTTTGTGGTGGGTCGCCCCACTAATTTATTCTTCCCGAGGGCAGCTGTTTGGTTCAGCCCTATGAAATGATCAAATCGCAAACTACATCACACAAAGGAGCAGTATGGCAATAAATACAAAACTTTGCAGTGATTTTATTTTGACACTTTAAAATATAATTCTATTTTTAAAAATTACATATATTTCAAGGTGATATTTGGTTTTATTAGAGATAAGGGCAAATAAACTTACCTACACCAGAGTCCAAGCACTGCGCATATTTAAAACAGCTCTTAGGGTAATTATAGCTGTCACATGTATCTTTATATAATGGAACTGCAGCTGAAATGTTCTTCCTGATGCTTTCTCTGAATTCAGCAAGGCGATGGCATCCTAAAAATGACCAATTTAAAGGTTTTTAATATGGTTAACATGAACTGTGGTGGTGTTTAAATGCAGTGTTGAGTTTATTTCAGCTACATTATGTAAAAATTAAATACAGATTTAAATACATGCTTCACTGCCCATAAACGACAGGATGCTGAACAAAGTTAATAGTTGTCAATAATGTCAAATGTCAAGGGGGTCCTGTTTTTTCATTTCTAAAATATAGATGACTCTTTAACTTTTAAATATTATCCGAGGACTGCTGCTGACAAGCTTTTAGTTATTATAATTATAGTTATGTATTCCTCTCATTTTTGCTTCATATCAAGTCCTCGTCCTCATCATATCATCTCTAAACAAAATCAAAAGGTTACTACTACTACTAGTAACTACTAGTCCTATACGGATAATATTATGGGGAGAGAAGGGCATAAAATATATAAATCCATGCAATCCTGTACAGTTTACAAGTCCTTTTAAGGTTTTCCATGGATTTAGAAACAAATCTAAAATTTAAAAATACAAATTCTTTTTTTGCAAATGACACGATAGATTCATTTTATATCAAAAGGAAAATTAAATCCCATTGGTCAGTTCAAAATAACCTTTGACCTAATGCTTGGATTGGCAGGCAATTAAAAAATTTTTAAAAAAAAATCGCATTTTCTGCTTTCCCCAACTCCCCCTACCCATCCCACAGCAACCCTCTCCTGGACATAATGAACCAAGAGCTCTCACATGAGCTCCCCCTACCCATCCCACAGCAACCCTCTCCTGGACATAATGAACCAAGAGCTCTCACATGAGCTCCCCCTACCCATCCCACAGCAACCCTCTCCTGGACATAATGAACCAAGAGCTCCCCTACCCACCCTTATCCTGCCATTCTTTGAATGATACAGATGCAACCAACCATGGCAAGAGGGTCACCTGGGGACAAAAGCAAAGAATGCTACAAACAAACTTGGAGCATTTGTGAGCAGAATGAAAGTCTTTAATTACAAATCTATTTGTGCATTAATATTAGCAAAAACTGCTGTGTCAGTAAGTGTTGTTTTAACCCTTCTTATATAATTAAATATATTTAATATCACAAAAACTGAATAGCTTTATTTGTATTTATGTCTATCACTAGTAGTAGGCCTATAACACCATAGCATGACTAAATTTAACATGTTAAGTGTTTCTAAACACTAAAGGGGGTTAGAACTTCCAATTAAGTGGGGGAAACTTTTTAAAAAAGAAAAAGGTTGGAATGTTGACGGGGGAGGGGAAGGGGGGAGTTTCTTATGCTAAGTGAGAGGCTGACCGAATACCCTGGAATCATCGCATGCAATTTAAAAAAAACCAACATGTTAGTGTTTGTTTCAGGCTGTTATTAAATCGAAGAAATTTTAAAACATAGTTGCACAAACGAAACTTTGAGACAATGAAGAGGGATTTACCTAAATTAAATCCTTTTCTCAGCTACATTTTATAAATAATCTATGGCATAATGTAACTATCGCAAAAAGTTACAAGGACCGAGATCTTATTTGCAAATTTCATTCAATCACATTTGTTTTACATTACAATATAAAAAAGTCCACTTATTTTTTTGTTTTCAAACCGATCAAGAAATTATCAATGCATGGATTCAAAAGATTGATATTTAACCCTCTTGAGACAGAGCCTTTTCTTTTTGGACTATTGGTGCCAAGAAGTTGGAGCCCTTTTCACAAACACAGCACTTACATTGCAAAAAAATTAAGTAATTACATACAAATATAAAACTCAATATTTATTAGGGGCCATCCATAAAAGACGTCCACCAATTTTTTGCTATTTTAAACCCCCCCCCCCCCCCCCCCCCCCCCCCTGTCT